TATATTAAATATATTTATATATAATATAAATTATATAAATATAAATATATGCATGCAAGTACATGTAAATATTTTCAAAATATATACTGTATGTGTGTGTATTTATATATACATAATACATATACACAGTACACACACATATATTATGTAAACAAACACTTTTATTTTGAATGCGATTAATCGCGATTAATCGTTTGACAGCACTAATTAAAACTAATATAAAATATGAATAAAAATTCGAATAGTATCCCAACGATACTAAATAACACTAGTCAGCACATTTTTTGCAGCTTTCCTGTAAAAGCAGAGCTGTATGAAGAGCGGTCCTTCATCATCTGAGCTGTAAAATCTGGGTGGTGTGTTTTCAATGATGCTTTGATGCAAACCTTAATTAAATCAACAGCCGTCCCTTTAAAACAAGAGCTCAGTCTCACAGCATCTCCTGTGATGGTGTTTGCTCTCATCACAGGGGAAAGGCTGCGTGTGAATGAGACCTTCTGCTGAAAGAAGGAGTTATGTTTATGTTTGACATGATGAAGCCACAGCCGTACACAGAAACCCTGGAGAGTCACAGGATCTGACTGTAGATCAATGCGGATCTTTGTTCAAGTGTCCGCAGCACTTACACACACACACACACACACACACACACACACACAGGGTGCAGCGACTGCAGGCAGGCCTTTATGAAGAAAGTGCTTTTAGCACCTGAACCTTCGATTACGATCTAGCAGCCGCCAGCGAGAGCTCACTTATGGAATATTAAATAGATTATGTAGAAAGATGAGCAAGCAAAACTCACTCTGTCCTGCTTATAAGATGTCATAATTTGATACACTAGCTTTCAAAAGTTTAGGGTCGGGGAGATTTTTAATGCTTTTAAAGTGTTTTATGCTCATAGAGGCTACAATTATTTGATTAAACAATACAGTAAAAGTAATAAAAATGTGAAATCTTATTACTATTTAAAGTAGCTGTTTTCTATGTGAATATGTTGTAAAATGTAATTTATTCCTGTGATCAAAGCTGAATTTTCAGCATCATTACTCCAGTCTTCAGTGTCACATGATCCTTCAGAAATCTTTCTAATGTACGGATTTGCTGCTCAAGAAACATTTCTGATTATTATCAACATTGAAAACAGTTGTGCTGCTTCATATTTTTGTAGAAACCGAGAAACATTTAATTTTTTCAGGATTTTTTGATCAATTGAAAGTTCAAAAGAACAGCAGTTATTTGGAATGTAAATTTATTTTGGAACATTATAAATGTTGCACTGTCACTTTTTATCAATTTAATGCATCCTTGCTAAATAAAAGTATTAATTTCTTTAAAAAAAAAGAAAAGAGTATGGTTCATCCCAAACGTTTGAACAATATATGTAAATATGTGACCTTGGACCACAAAACCAGTCTTAAGTGTCAATTTTTTTAAATTGGGATTTATACATCATCTGAAAGCTGAATAAATAAGCTTTTCATTAATGTATGGTTTGTTAGGACAATATTTGGCGAGATACAACTATTTGAAAATCTGAAATCTGAGGGTGCAAAAAAATCAAAATATTGAGAAAATCGCCTTTAAAGTTGTCCAAATGATTGATATATTTATGGTAGGAAATTTACAAAATATCTTCATGGAACATGATCAATATCCTAATGATTTTTGGCATAAAAGAAAAATTGATAATTTTGACCCATACAATGTTTTTTTGGCTATTGCTACAAATATACCCCAGTGACTTAAGACTGGTTTTGTGCTCCAGGTTCACATATAATAATAAGTTGTGCATATTGACAAGAACTATTACTACTATTGGTCATAGTATTAAACTTCAGTGTAACTCGTCATGATCATTTGTATTAACAATATTTTCATCTGTCTGTCTGTCTGTAGAGAAAGGCTTCGTGGCTCTTTCTTCACATCTGGGCAGGAACGTCTCGGCACTGCTCGGAGAAAACGTGGAGCTGAAGGTGGAGATTGAGGCGTATCCCAAACCCAGCGTGCAGTGGACTAAAGACGGCGCTGCTATCAGAGGACACAGCACCAGACAGGAACAAGAGACGGGGTAATGATGCTCTCAACGCACCCCCTCTATTAAACAACACTCAAGCTTTCCACGGGATCTCAGACTCTGTGTGCTCCGCATCTGCTGCAGGTTTGTCAGCACACTGACCCTGGTCAGGATCCGACTGGAGCAGATGGGTCTCTACACCGTCAGTGTCCAAAACCAAGATGACTTTAAAGAGATGACCTTTGACCTAGAGGTGAAAGGTGAGACAGTTTGACATCTATTTACACACCACCCCCATTTCCTGAAAACAGACACCCGTTTAGGTCTGGACCAAGAATAACAGCAGCTGCTGGGATTACTGCGAAACTGTTCATTAAATTGAATTGAATTTCATTTAATTATTATTTTTTGTTTATTGACCAAATATTTATGTTTACTATTTAATTTCTTTAATTTAATTTTATGTTTAATTTTTGGTTAATTTAGCGTAATTTAATACTTAAAGGGGTCCTATTATGCTCTTTTGCAAAGTCTTGATTTTGTTTTGGGGGTGTACTAGAACATGCTCTCATACTAGGTTGTTCGAAAAACACATTATTTTTCACATAAATATTTAGTTTAATTTAATTACATATGTAATAATATTTAAATAGTTTAATTAAAATTGTAATTTATTTTTATAAATAATTTTAACATTTAATATTTTTAACAAAATATTTATTTTGTTTAATTTAATTAAATATGTAATGTAATATTTAATTAGTTCAATTACATTTTTAATTTATTTCTGTTTATTTGATAATTAATTTTACTTTATTTAATATTTTAATTGTTGATTTTATTTTAATATTTCATTTGTTTAATGTAATTAAAATGTTACAATTAGTTGAATTTAATTTCAGGGAATTTATTTGATAATTTGACTTAATTTAATAGTTTTTATAGTTTATTTTAATATTTCATATGTTTAAATTAAACAAATGAAATATTAAAATAATGTAATTTGTTTACATTAATGTATTTATATGATAATTAATTTAATTTAGTATTTTAATAGTTTAATTTAATGTTTAACATATTATTTAATTCATTTTATATATTTAAATATGTCATTTTATACTTAATTTGTTTCATTTAGTATAATTTAATATTGAATTCAATATTTAATTCTGTTTATCTACATGTAATTTAATATTTAACTCTGTTAAATTAATTTAATTCAATATTTAATTTGTTTAATTTAATTTAATTAATAAACAAATATATTACTCATTGCTTGCATTTAAAAATGACGGTTCACCTTTAAAGGGTTAGTTCCCCCAAAAATGAAAATTCTGTCATTAATTACTCACCCACGTGTTTCTTTGCTCAAAAAAGTATTCTCGTAGCTTCGTAACTTTACAGTTGAACCACTGATGTCACACGGACTACTTTGTCGATCATCTCGGTACTTTTCTGGACCTTGAACGTGGTAGTTACCTTGCTGTCTAAGGGAGGGTCAGAGAGCCCTCAGATTTCATCAAAAATATCTTAAATTGTGTTCTGAAGATGAACGAAGGTCTTACGGGTTTGGAACGACATGAGGGTGAGTAATTAATGACAAAATTTTCATTTTTGGGTGAACTATCCCTTTAAGCTTCTTGATCAGTTATTTTCTCATTTATTCTGTGAGGTTTTGGTTTGTGTTATCGTTGTTAACTGATGTCAATTCCTGTCTCTGTAGTTCCTCCTCAGATAACTGAACTCTCTGACCATCAGCTGCCGGGTAAGAAGCATGCGGTCACCTGTGTGGCGGAGGGAGTGCCGTCTCCCAGCATTCAATGGTTCAGCTGTGACAGCATGCCCAAGTAATGACACACCTTCATCATCATCATCATTACAAATGAATCTGTGTATTTGTTAGGCTTCCACTAAGGTGAGCAGCACATACTGTGTTTAGCATACGAGATGCAATAATACTAGATTATCAGCCAACATTTTAAAATATTTCCCCTCATTCATATTTAATACGAGCTGTTTGCGAGATGAGTAAATATAAAGCTGATGAGTTTGCACAGCACTCAGAAAGCATTACATAAACACACACATCAGCGTAATGAAGGCAAGTCGATCAGGCTGCGTCTGTCCATCATGCAAACGCTGCGCACATGCTGATTAAAACAGCGAAGAGCTGCACAGAAATACTTCTGTATGAATAATATATAGCACACATGCTGTAACAGCCATTAGTGCACACCTCTCCTGTCACAGCACACTTCCTTCATGGGTGCAGCACACTTATGAGGGCGCAGATTTAAGTGTGCGAGCAGATATAATGCACGTATATTATTGGGTGTGTTTGTTCTGGTTTGTAAATTGTCTTTGTGCATTTTGTACATATTACATATTGTATAAAGTGTAATGACACACCTTCATCATCATCATCATCTTATATGAATCTGTGTATTTGTTAGGCTTCCACTAAGGTGAGCAGCACATACTGTGTTTAGCATACGAGATGCAATACTAGATTATCAGCCAACATTTTAAAATATTTCCCCTCATTCATATTTAATACGAGCTGTTTGCGAGATGAGTAAATATAAAGCTGATGAGTTTGCACAGCACTCAGAAAGCATTACATAAACACACACATCAGCGTAATGAAGGCAAGTCGATCAGGCTGCGTCTGTCCATCATGCAAACGCTGCGCACATGCTGATTAAAACAGCGAAGAGCTGCACAGAAATACTTCTGTATGAATAATATATAGCACACATGCTGTAACAGCCATTAGTGCACACCTCTCCTGTCACAGCACACTTCCTTCATGGGTGCAGCACACTTATGAGGGCGCAGAATTAGCATATATAATGCATGTATATTATTGGGTGTGTTTGTTCTGGTTTGTAAATGGTCTTTGTGCTTTTTATAAAAGTGCATATTATATAAAGTATTCAGATTTCAATTTTTGATGTGTTTGGGTAAATTCATAATGGCATGGCATAATACTCAGTATCTGCAGTATGTAACCATTGTATACACAAAATGTACACACATTTTCTCTATGGATGAAATACTCAGATGACCCAGATGTGTGTGTGTGTGTGTGTGTGTTTATTTATTTATTTACCTATATTTAATTTCTATTTAATTTTAGGATTACATATATATTTATATTTATATACAGCTTATACTGAATGCTAAACGTAATGTTACAAAAAACATTTCTTACAAAATGCTGGACAAAAACTGTAATATATGTACTTATGTTTAATTTTTGGATAATTTATTTACTTTTGTTTAATATTTTGTTTGTTTAATTTAATATTTAATGTGATTAATTAATGTAATTAAAATATTAAATTAAGTACAATTTATTATTAAATACATAATTAAAAAGTTAAACGAATTAAATAATAAATGACATGTGTAATTTAATTTTAAAATGATTTATTTGCTAATAAATTTTACTTCATTTATTATGTTAATAGGTTAATTTAATTTAATATTTAATTAGTTTAATGAAATATGATATTGAATATAATAAATATATATTTTCTCACAGAAAATGGGAGAAACACTGCAAATATATATATATATATATATATATATATATATATAGTTATTTTTCATGCAGTATATACTGTACAGTATGCAGTAATCAGTACACTAGTATTCCTGTCTGGTTGTCATCAGGTGCAGTAACAGAAGTGTGGCGTGGAGCCCCCTAGTGGAGGATCCTGAGAAAGTCACCATCCAGACTAACGTCAGCTACAACATCACACGCAAGATCCACCAGGTGCACAGTCAGGTGACTCTCCTGCTGCCCCAGCTGCTCACCATCCGCTGCGAGGCCCGCAACGAGAGAGGAGCTCGAGCCCGAGACATCAGACTGGTCAACAGCAGTGAGTAACGTGTGTGTGTGTGTGTCGGGAGGGTGTTAAAGCCTCTTTGTGAATGTGTGAAATGAGGATCTGCTGAATGGAGCAGCACCCGTGGAGATCAAACACAGAGGGACTTTGGCTGTAATGCCATGATCCTCCAGGACTGCTTTCATTAGCGCCGTGAATGTGGCGTGAAACCCGTTGAGCTCATTGAGAACCTGATACTGGTTCAGCCGTGAGAAAAACCAGAAACACAAACACCTGCCAAAGCTGCGGGAAACGCTTTATTGATTCTGTATATGAGGCCACAGTCTTATATATGAGCCGGGCCGCCTTGATTTAAAGTCAACATGAGTCTTCTGTCTTGTCCCATTTTACTTTAATAACTTTTCATATTTTAATGTGAAATGGACATTCATTGAGAAAAAAAAAGTAGCACTGGACATGATTAAATAATGAAACCTATCCAGTCTCTGTTTCTCTATGTGATAAGTGATTGGAAATACACACACAAATTTTATTGTATTTTTAATTTAATTTAATTTAATTTAATTTAATTTAATTTTATTTAATTTTATTTTATTTTATTTAATTATTTAATTTAAATTAATTTAATTTAATTTTGTTTTGTTTTAAATAAACAATGTAACATCAATTTATTTTTTCTTTTTATTTAAAAAATACTTGTTTCCCATTTATTGATTGATTGGATAGTGAAACATGTCTCTATGTGACAAGTGATAGAAAATATAAATTTTTTTATTTTTATTTATTATTTATAGCATAAAAGTGATATGCTATAAAAGTGATATATTTATAGCACATGAGATAGACAATAGACACAAAAATTTTATTAAATTTATTTGTATTTATTTTATTTCATTTATTTTAGTTTATTTATAATATAACTGACTTAGGACATGTAAAATCTGACAAGTACATTAATTGAAAATACAAAAATGTAGTTTAATTTAAACAAAAATAATATCATAATAAATAAATGTATTTTTTTCTTTTTATTGAAAAAATTACTTGGTGCCCCTTTAAGCATCCTTAATTATTTTATAGTTTATTCATTGAGGTTTTGTTTGTATTAATATTGTTAATTCCTATTAATAACAGGAACTTTTTATTGACACTATATATCAGTGTTACTCATTGCGCGGCTCGCCAAGCTTTAATGTGTGGCTCGCATGGCAGATGGCAGTAAATAATGCGATGATATGATCAATACAGATATTTAATAAAAACATTAAAAACAAGCAGGGCTAAAACTAAGCCATTAAAAAAACTCACACCGTGCATACACTGGACGTGAGCGTCGTGGTGCGACG